GGTCATCACAATGTCAGCTTCATCTTGGATAGTGATTATGGAAGGTAGGTCATTTTGTAAATAATAATTTTCATAATTGATTCAACTGGGTAAATAAAATAAAAGTATATATTTACTTTATGCTATAGATCCAGAGATTAAAAAACTAATCACTTTTTTTCCCAAATTAACATTTAAGGGGTCTATCATTCCCTTGCTCTACTTTGTGCCTCAGACACAGTCTTCCAACTGTTGGGAAATTTAGCATTACCTAAAACAACAAACAAATCTTTGATTGTAATATTGAAAGTGTTCTTTTATGTCTTACAGCTCTTCTGACTTAATTGTAATTTTTTTGATAACTGAATAGTTCAGTTTTGATTTGAACTAATGTAAGAAAAAATAAAATCCCATGGTAAATATTACCTGATAAAGGTGTTCATTTAAAGTATCAAGACATACAGAGTGATGAAAGATAGTAGTTACAGCTTGCAAATGTCCGTCTTAGCACCATATGTTAATAACTTTTATTCACGATTTTTAATAAAGCTAGAAATCAGTTCCAGATATCCTACATCCTAATTTCACTAAGAAAGATTACCATATATTTATAGAAATATCAGAATATGCAAATCTCAACACATGTTGCAACCCTCATATCATAGATAATCATAATACAGAACATTTAGTGGCAGGCATGGTACTAAGCACTTTACATATATTGTCTGGTTGAAGACTCCCAAAGAACCTATAAAACTGAGTGTTATCATCCCCTCTGTGTTGCACACTGGGAAAAATGAGATTCAGGAAAGTTGAATAATTTGCCCATGGATATTCACCTAGTTGGAAGCAGCGTTGGTATGTGAACACACACAGCCCAGCTCCAGACCCTGAGCTTTTCATTTCAGGGCTCTGCCAAGAGTGGTGGAGGCTTTCAGCCATAGAACCACATCTCCTCACTACTTAACATCCTGACACAGGATTCTTTAACCATGGCAGGATTACCCCACTTCTCTGTGCATTTGCAAATGTGTGGGGGGCATTTGTTGGCTGTCATAGTAACTGGGGCATGCTAATGGCCTTTTGTGGGCAGGACTGAGATGCTCCAAACCTAAATGAATTATTCTCCCCAAAATGTCATAGTGTCTCCCAATGAGAAAATGAGCTGGTTAATAGAAATTCAAATAAATCACAGTATTTAGCCATCCAATACTAATATAGCTGTAGTAGATCAATAATAGGATATGTCTGTTGATATTTTTTTGTTGTTTCTGAAGAGAGATGATTAGAAAAGATTGAAAAAGATTAAAAAGATTGAAAAGAAAGGCAATATTACAGTCAAAGTAGATGTTATTCCTGGTTAATGCTCACAGATGCCAAGAGAAGGGTGATATTTGGTCCCTGCATGCATGAAGCTGCAATTGAGGTGGTGAGCCCCAATCCATTATCATTGTATTTAAAGATCTTCTGGTTCCAGACACCTAGAGGCAATAGGTTTGTAACAAAATGATGACTGGGTTGCACACTTTCTCATAGACCAATATAGACTGGACCAAAACCATGAAGAATATTATAATTCAAGGGCAAACCATTGTGGATGGTATGTAAATGGTACTAAGACTCACCTTTGTGATTTACATGGGGCAAATGACTTAGAGTCCCATGATTTACCAGTTATTTTCTGCAAGGACATGACCTACATACATATAACTTGATATGGATAGGGCAATAGGATTTTATTGAAAATACTAGAAAATCATGTTAGAAGCAATAATTATTGAGTTTTAAATGATTTCCTGAACTACATATACTTTTTTTTTTAATGTTCTCATTGTCATTCTTCTTCAGGTGAAAAAGATGAATTCTTAATTCTGAGTCTGTATGAAAGGTATTAATTACCAAATCCATCATATATTTCTCAAAGAAATAATTATCCAAAAATAGGTTTGAGTGATCAAGCTTGAATGTGATTGATAAGTATATATAAATCAATGTGTTGCATTAACATGCCCTGAAACTTTCCGTTTTAAAAAGCCAGAAAATTTGCACATAATATAGGCAAAAATATGGCTTAAAATAGTTGATTCTGTGATCTTGACTAATAATTCTTGTTTTAAAGCTAGTGGCTGTTCTTTTGTATTAATGTCTCAGAATTGAGGAAACTCTGTTTCTATATAAAACAATCTTAGGAATTTTAAGATAACTGTTAAAAATATGGCATTTACTACTTAAAAGCAGTTTCATGATCACATGGCATTTAAAAAAATGTTAAATCATCCTTTAAATTAAAAAATCCATATTTTACAAATTTCAGGAGCATAACTGAATATCAAATGAACCAATTAAAGACCATTGTGACTCCCATTCTATATTTCTTTTAATAGCTAACCTTCTCTCCTCTATTACCCCAAGTTCAAACAACAGCTGTTCCAAACTGATAAGGTTCAGATGAGTCTGCCTTAATTGAGAAATGCCTAGTCATTATCAATGAATTAGTGAAAATCACCTCAGTGTCATACCAAATAAATTACATTCAAATTTTATTTCAGGAGGCAATTTTCCCACCAACTTAAGAAGCAGGGTTAATTTTTCAGATCCAGAATCTGACCACAGACAATATTGTTGGAGCTGGCATCATTTCAGATCTTTGAGAATTCAACTGAAAGGCTTATAGCATACAAATATAAATCTAGTATGAACTTCTTAAGTAACTAATTTAGCATACAGAATTTCCAGAGACTCTTTAGTCTTGCAAATGCCCATTATAATGCTTGGGTTAGATTTATACGAGTTTACTGTTGGTCTCAACCACAAGATTTGCATTATCCTTTTAGATTCGAGTTCAGTGTGTTATAAATATAATGAATGGGTTCTGAGTCTTAACATTTCAATTTCTTAATTTCTCTATTATGAATTTCATTGAGGTAATTGAGGAAACAGTATTTAATTTCTAGGATCTGATTCCTTCCCTTCCTTGCTCTCCAGGCTATGAAGTGCAAGTCTGTATCCACCAAAAAATATGAATAGGTTCTGTGTTTATTAAGGGTGATTTAACTCTGGATTATTGGATTATTGTTGACCTGCTTTCATTCATTGTGCTCTTACAAGGATTAGTGACAGGAGAAAACTGTATAGGACACAGGTGAGGAGCCAGGGCTCAGGACTCAAACTGCCAGGCTTCAAATTCTGTTTCTGCTACTTACTCCCTTTGTGATCTTGAGTAAGATAAATAGATTCTCTGAGCTGAACCTACCTCATGGGGTTAATGTAGGATAAAATGGCATAATAAATTAAAAGCTTAAAAAAATCTTAGGTTAAAAGCTTAAAAACTTTAGCATGATATCTGATAGGTGTTCAGTCATGTTAGTTATTCTGATGCTAAATGGGTTATAAGACAGGAGAGAGGAGGGTGGTTAACACAAAAGCCTTCATGAAGACTTCATGTTTTTTTCTGTTAATATGAATTCTTTATTGAGGTATAATTTGCATAAAATAAAATGTGTATAATTTAAGTGTGCAGTTCAGTAAGGTCTGACCAAGGAATGTTTGAGTATTTGTGTACTTGTATATTTGTGTAATCAGTAACTGTATCAAGATGTAGAACATTTTTATCTCCCCAAAATGTTCTGTCCAGCTCCTTTGCAAATTATGACATGATTTATATCACTAAAAAAATAACATTTTTCCTAAAATAAAGTTCAGTTTTAAAGTAAGGATTTTTACCTTTTTTTTTTTTTACACAGGAGTTTCCCACAAAAAATGGCATATTTTGTTTCTTCTCTAAATAAAATTTCAATGTTTCAAACATATGCAGGTATGTGCACTCTGTGTGTGTGTGTGTGTGTGTGTGTGACAGAGAGAAAGAATGAGAGAGACAGAGAGATGTGTGTACTTCATTTCATCAAATCAATGACAATAAGGACTTAAGGCATACTACATTATTTTATGTACTGCTAGGAAAGGAAAAACACCCAAGATGGGGAGTCTAATAGGAAGCTCTGACATTAAGCTAGGACCCAGAAAACTATATTTTTAATATAAGGTTGATTGAGAAACCAGCTCATCACTCTAAAAGAGACAGAAGGGTAACTTGCATGTCTCCACTTGGGCTGTTGGTCAAGGGAGGGGGAAAAAAAAATCTCCACTGTCAATTTAAACTACAAGCCAGGCAGGACTCTCTCAGATTTATGGTCTCAGTGTGGTCCAAAAGAATACTCAAGCAGATTATTATTTATTTTAACTTACAGAGATCTAAGGTTGGTAGACTCTTAGGAGAGTGTGGGAAGCAAACACAAATCCTCCTGGAAGAATTACACTTCATTCTAGGTCAGGAGTGATGGAGTGGCACATTCAGATTTCAAAGATGTTCAAATGTGAAAAAAAGTGTCTTGGAATCAATCAAATATGATATATCCTGCTTTTTCTATTTAATGTGAAACTCGTATGTAAAAATACATAGAACTTTGATAGATAGAACTTATAAGAATAAATTTGAATAAGAATCTACCATATATCATGCACTGGGCTATTTTACTAATGTACCTGGAACTTTTATATATGAAACCAGAAGACTTACAGTCATAGTTAATGTATTACTATATGAGAAAAGTATAAGATGTTGACTTAGAAATAGAAGAAAGATTTATTCTTTAAGAGCATAGGGGAGAAGAGGCTGTTCTCCTGCCTTCCTGTGTTTTCTTTTGGAATCAAACATCTATCCTCAGCCCAGATTTTCCTTAATTCCTGCGTCCTCCATTACCAGTGTCTCTTTAGTAGCAGTCACCACTGAAACCTGGTCCCCATGAGATGTAGGGCTCTGTGAAAGCCATGCTAACTGTCCTCTTTGCAGGACAAAATTGAAACACCCAATTCATTCATTTGGTCAGTCTACTACCTATGCTGTGCTATGTGTTAAGGCGAGGTAATATGGAAAATTTATAAAAATCAAGCTTTTGTGTTGATGTGTAATATTCAGGACATTTTCTTTAATGTGCTTCTCCTCCCTCTCTCCAGAGGTCACTATGATTTCCCCTTCACAAGGAAGCATTCAAGGTGGCACCGTGCTAACGATAAGTGGACAGTTCTTTGATCAGACAGATTCCCCTGTCAGGGTTCTTGTTGGAGGTATTGTTTATAACTTTTAATATATTACATTATAAGAACAAGTCCTGGCTTTTATTTAATAATTTGTAAGAAGAATAATAGTCCTTTTTCAATTAATATCTTAAATTTAAAGCTGCGTATTTTCACATGGGCATTTGGTTCCAGGGTGTGATACTTTCCCCACTGGGACCTTCCAGGGAGGGCCTTACATGACCACGACTTGGGCTCTTAGGTCATCATCAAAAGGCATTTTATGGTAGCAACATGGCTACCTTCCACAAATTCTCACCACACTTTGAGACACACATACCCTTTATTTAACAAACTTTTGAATGCCCTTCTTGAACTGTTGTTAATTCTCAATGGGTTCATTAGTTATGAGAAAATTAAAAGTATTTGGGGATACTCTTCTCATCCCCTTTTCATTTATTGTGACTTATCTGGACATCATCAGGAATTACTGATGATATTGGCCTTGGAAAGAACATTAATTGATGTGTTATATTTTTACAAATGTGAATAGAGCTTGATTCTCTGGTTATGCATCGTTTTTATGTATCTAGTTTAGGTCTGTTCAAGGTAGGGAGCTGTGCAGCTCAAAAAGGAGATGGAGGATGAATATGATAGTGGAGATCTTCCCACTGAGTCATAATGGCCTTCCCTACCTTGAGCAAATGACTACGTGTCTGGCCATGCAACTGGACACATACTTTTTCTGATACATCCCTCTGCTTAGGTGCTTTCTACTTTTAAGGAATCTGCCCATGAGCCTGCCAAAATGTGATTTCAAGAGAAGAAATTAATATAAAGTAGCCTCATCTAACATTTATACAATATCTTTCTTATCCCTGTGAATCCTTGCTGGTCACCTGCATAAATATTAAAACCTAGGCAATAAGATTTTTAAATATCATATATGTTTTCTGAAATTTTAAATATAAATGTTTTCAAGTATTAAAATCGGGCACAAAATATCTTTAATTTATATACTGTGTTTTATGATATTGTGATACAGTTGATATGCAAATATGACATGTTAATTTTTTATTTTTCATTGCCATCAATGTGACAAGGTTTGAGATTTTGAATCCTCAGTAATTTCTTTTTTAAAACTACATGACTTTTTTAAGGTTTTTTTAAAATTTTAAATTCTAACTAATTTATTGGAGTATAATTACATATAGTAAACTGGGTGTATTTTATTTTTTCTTCCAAGTTTTTATTTAAACTCCAGTTAGTTAATACACAGTGTATACAGTGTCATATTAGCTACAGGTATACAGTGTAACGATTCAGCACTTCCGTGCAATACCCAGTGCTCATCACAACAAGTGCACTCCTTATCCCATCACTTATTTAACATGTCCCCCCACCTCCCCTCTGGTAACCATCAGTTTGTTTTCTATAGGTAAGAGTCTGTTTCTAGGTTTGCCTCTCTCTTTTTCTTCCCCCTTTGCTCATTTGTTTCTTTTTTAAAGATTTTTATTTATTTATTGAGAGAGAGAGAATGATAGAGAGAGAGCATGAGAGGGTGGAGGGTCAGAGGGAGAAGCAGACTCCCCTCTGAGCAGGGAGCCCGATGCGGGACTCGATCCTGGGACTCCAGGATCATGACCTGAGCCGAAGGCAGTCATTTAACCAACTGAGCCACCCAGGCGCCCTGCTCATTTGTTTCTTAAATTCCACATATGAGTGAAATCATATGGTATTTTTCTTTCTCTGACTGACTTACTTTGCATAGCATAATACTCTCTAGCTCCATCCATGTCATCACAAATGGCAAGATTTCATTCTTTTTTGTGGCTTTATATATACTAGATCTTCTTTATCCATTCATCACTTGACGGACACTTGGGCTCTTCACACAATTTGGCTATTGTTAATAATGCTGTGGGGATAAACATTGGGGTGCATGTATCCCTTTGAATTAGTATTTTTGTTTTCTTTGGGTAAATACCTAATAGTGTAGTTACTGGATAATAGGATAATTCTATTTTCAACTTTTTGAGGAACCTCCATACTGTCTTCCACAGTGGATGTACCAGTTTGCATTCCTACCAACAGCGTAAGAAGGTTCCCATTTCTGCACGTCCCTACCAACACCTGTTGTTTCTTGTGTTGTTGATTTTAGCCATTCTGACAGGTCTGAGGTGGTATCTCATTGTAGTTTTGATTTGTATTTATTGATGATCAGTGATGTTTAACATCTTTTCACGTGTCTGTTGGCCATCTGTCTTCTTTGGAAAAATGTCTACTCATTTGCCCATTTTTTAATTGTCTGTTTTGGTTCAGTCTGCCTCTGAAAATACCATTTATGCATTATTATCTCTGTTGTTTTCATTTGACTACAATGAACTTGTACTAAATGAACTTGTACCTTGGACTAAACCACCATCTTATGTATTTATTTATTTTATTTTAAGAGGGCTGTGATCATCTGCTTTTGCAAATTCTGAACATCATGGATTTATTCAGCAACTTTTCTGTGGGGAACAGAATATACGGCTTCACTCTGGACTCAGAAGTGAAATCTTTTACAGTGACATAGTTTTGTCAAGTTTTTTATTTTGTTTCTCAGAAATCACAAAATTTCCTAACTCAGACTTGTGATGTGTTGCCAGGAAAACGTTGCCGTGTAAAAGTATGGCAATTAAGGAGTGATAATCTTTGTGGAGAACCTATAAAGGAAATGAAGAGCCCTGGCTTTGCTTCTTGCTTGTGCAACTTGGTTTTCATCAGAAAGTACTTCCAGATAAGCTAATTGTGATCTGCATTCTGGAGCTCTGTAGTAATAGCTCTGCACCTTGCTTCTCTCTAGGTCAAGCCTGTGATATTTTGAATGTCACAGAAAACAGCATATGCTGCAAGACACCCCCTAAGCCTGAAGTTCTCAGAACTGTCTATCCAGGTAAGTTGCCAGAAGAGAGAATTGCCATTTCTACATTTACATAAGAAGACATATCCCATTAGTTTTTTAGTTCCTTCAGGCTGCTGAAACAGAACACCACAGACTGGGTACCTTATAAACAACAAACACGTATATCTTACAGTTCTGGAGCCCGGGAAGTCCCAGATCACGATACCAGCAGATTAGGTGTTTGGTGAGAACTTTCTCCCTCATAGATCGGCACCTTTTGGGGGCTAGAGAGCTTGGTGGAGCCTCTTTTATAAGCCCTCATGAGGGCTCTCGTGACCTCTCATGACCTAAGCACCTCCCAAGGGCCCCACCTGCTAATAATGTCACATTGGGCGTTAGGTTTCAACATCTGAGTTTTGGAGGGGATACGAACATTCAGCCCATAACAATTAGTAACAAAAAATATTTGAACTTTTTAGAATTTGTAATGAGAATTATAATAAATTTCATCCTAGTTTTTCTCCTTACACTTTCTGGATCAGGGAATGTTTGTGTTAACTGCCTCAAAACTGCAGCATGGAAATAAATTCAGCCTGAATTCTTGAAACACCCTACTGAAAACAGCACATCTCTATTGAATTAGTTTGATGGGGACTTTATTTCAGATTAAATGAGATTACTGAATGTTGGTGCAGGCTACATGGACATTTTATAAATGCCTTTTTGTGGTTAAAAAATAAATGGCAGAGGTTAAATCCTTACTTTTCTAGAATGTTTTAAGAGTGATAACAGGGGATGAGAGAAATAGAACTCAGAATTCTTTCCAGACTTTGGCCTGTAGCCCACAGTAAGAGCTTGACATCTGCAGTGATACCACTCACTGAGAGGCATTGCACGGTTTTGAGGGTGTGTACCGCATATCTTGTGCACACCCTGAAATTGGTTTATGATTGTACTACTGGTTGGTATTTGAAGCCAAGTAAATTATGTTTCTCAACCTCTTAAGTTTCCTTGTTTTGAATGACATTAGAAAAAAAATGCCCAGTTTAGGAGAGTATTTTGATAATCACAGTTGGTAACTTTAATGAAAGTTGTATTCATCAGAGAACACCGCTGCTGCTGAAGTTTGAGGTGTTCAAGCTTTTCTCCAGACAAACTCAGCTGAAGAGGAGGAGCCATCATTTCCTAGATCCAACCATTCCAGACTAGCTTAAGGCTGCTGGAAGAAGACACCAGTCTGATTGCTGTAGTTTAGGGAAGAAAAAAAAAAAAAAGTGAGATGGCTCCCTGAAGATCAGGAAAAAACTTAATCAGAATTTATGTTGGCAAGTGTAGGTTCACGTTAATGAGAATAGTCTCTCTGATTCTGTTCAAGAAAGAGATGAAATCATAGAGCAGAAGTAATGTTAAAAAGAAGAAGAACAACAAATACTGACAAAAATCTTAAAGCCAACACTGTCCATTCTTTGATTAGTTGCAAACCATCAATTGGGTAACTTTTGTTAGAGAGAGTAATCAGGCAAAGGTTTTGAAATCAAATGGCCTGAATCATGAAGTTTTGAGATTTAACTATATAAAGCAGCATCAGTCATATCAGGGGTAATAGTTATCATATTATCTAAAGTAAAGCACTTAGTAATATCCAATCCCCATTGCAACCATGCAAATAATAATATTACTCCCATTTTACATATGTAGAATCTGAGGTACAAATATATGCATTAATAATAAATAAGTTGTAGGCTCTCTTAACAGCACTCTATCCTATAGGTACAGGTACATGTATGGGTATGTGTAATTGTTTTATTTACAAGCATGCTCTAAAAACGTGAATAGCAATAGAATATCTATAACCACCACCCAAATAGAGGGCCATTGAGACAACGCATCAAAATTCTGATGAGAATATTTTTTTATTTTGTTACATTCAGGTGGGAGAGGCCTAAAGCTTGAGGTATGGAATAATAGTCGGCCAGTGCATCTTGAAGAGATACTTGAATACAATGAAAAAACGCCAGGGTACATGGGGGCCAGTTGGGTAGATTCGACTTCCTATATTTGGCCCATGGAGCAAGACACGTTTGTTGCACGCTTTAGTGGATTTTTGGTGGCTCCAGACTCTGACGTTTATAGATTCTACATCAAAGGTGATGACCGTTATGCTATTTATTTCAGCCAAACTGGACATCCAAAAGATAAGGTAAGGAAGCTACGGAATATTATTTAATATTATAAAAGCAATATGACAACTTTGATATGTATCTCATTTATGAGATATATTTTCACACGGTTGGGTTCTTGGTCTTTTTTAACATGTGTAATGGGAACTATAAAGTCACCGTAGAAAACCCGTGGCCTAAAAAAAAATGCTTTCCTGTATCTACATTTTCTCTAGGAAGGAAAAAATATATATTTCCTTTAAAGATTATTTTAATTATGGAAGAATTATAACCATACATAGGAAATTTGGGAAAGAGTAAAAATAATTCACTATTCTACTAGATCTATTTCACTATTATGTGGCTATGTGATTGAAGTCTGTCATTTCTTTTTGTGTCTTTTTTGCTTTTATATAAATAAGATCATACATCCAATTTCATAGTCATTTTGGTCACATATTAGTATTTCCACATTTTATTAAATAATTTTCACAGCACAGTTTTTGATGACTGAATAGTGTTTAAATTGCTGCCTGTAATATATGAATTCTAATTTTACTGTAGCTTTTCGGCATGTTTCCTCCAAGGATGATATAGTCATTCCTGATGGGGAGCCCAGAGTTTTCTCATTCTAGCATGCAGACCCATTTAGTGATCTGTAGCATCTTTCAGACCTACTTTTAGTGACCTCATTTGGATTAAATCCCTAAAAGCTCTCCACAGAGCAAAAGGATATTTTATTTAACAATCACAACCTTCCTCCTGGTATATATCTTTCTAATTTTCACTGCAGTTTTTTTTTTTTTTTAAAGATTTTATTTATTTATTTGACAGAGAGAGAGCACAAGTAGGCA